GGGGGGCGGCCGAGCGCGGCGTGGCGTGGCGGCGGACGCGGGGCCCGGAGCGGAGTGGGACCGGGGTCTCCACCGAGCAGGTCAGTCCCGGGGCGGGGGAGGGAACGGCGTTCTGGGCTGCGGGGCTCAGCCGGCGGGGGGTGGCTGTTGGGGGGGTCTCCAGGGGGTGCAGGATGGGTCAGGGGTGGGAGGGGGCGCGTCCTGCCGGTGGGGTGATTGGGGTGGGGGTGTCGCCGCGCCGTCTGTGGGGTGAATGCTGAGCTTCTACGCCCCCCCTCGCCCCCCTGTGTCGTTCTTAGCTGCGCCTCCCGGGTGGGCCTGTCCGTGGGACTGCACCGGGGGATGCTCGGGGCAACTTGCGTGACCCCCTGGGGGGCTGTGCCAGCGCCGCGCTGGTGGGTACAGCTTACGAGGAGGACTCTGTGGGTCCGGCAATGGGTCTGGCTCGCTGCTGTAGGAGATTTTGGGGTACTTGGCTCTGTTTAGGTGCTGTTTTCCTGCCCTGGTTCTGGACCACGTACTGGAGTGGCTTTAAGTAATGCTTGTCCCCACCAGCCTGATGGGCAGCTGGGGCCCAGCGAGGTGCGGGGGCTCCCCTGGGCTCCTGATGGGCAGCTGGGGCCCAGCGAGGTGCGGGGGCTCCCCTGGGCTGCTGGAGCGCATCAGTGGCAGAAGCAGAGATCGTGTCCCAGCCCCTCGGTGTCCTTTCCCAGTGCCCATGTGCCGGCCTGTGCTGCTGTCCCCTGATATGAGAGAAAATGTCATCCCACCGCTGTGTCATGCCATGGCTTGTGCTCGGTCCCCACGTCATCCTGGCTACACAATCCTCCTTCCGGGAGCCACACCTGATGGTGTTAGAAATGCTTCATGCTGGTGGGAGAGAAAAGGGGGATTCTCTCCCTGGTTCTCCCTCCAGCTTGTGAGAGGTTGATGACTGTGAAAGGGCTGTTTAATCAGGATGATCTAACGCTCTGGCCAAGCTGCTCTCCCCCCAGTTTACGACTTCTCCACAGATCAAGGCCCTGCCTTCTCCCTCGCTTGCTTCCCCATCCTTTCTAGCAGCAGCAGTGCTGCACAGTGGGTTTGCAATTCAGAAACCTCATGAACAGAAGGGGTGTTATCCAGGAGAAAGAGAGAGAGACCTTTGTCTGGCCGGCAGATGTTATTTCTGCATGAACATCTTTTTCCCTTTAACTGTTTAGCCACCATCTCCAGCACTGATCTGCACTCCTGCCTCCTCCCCTTTCCGAGAGTTCAGAGGGGAGTGGATGGAGGTGGAGGAGGTGAGGGGAAAGCTGGGTGGGCAAAAGAGGTACGAGAAAGCCCCTTGCCCCGTGTTGGGGTTTTACGATGCAGTGTGACATGTCAGGCTGCCTGTCTCAGCAGCGGAGAGAAGGCAAAATGTGCCATTTGGAATAAAAGCTGCTGTTGAAGGGGTTTGTGGTATTTTTTCAGAGGAGAGAGCGGGGAAAGTGTGGAAAAAGCAGAAGGCAGAAAGACTGGCTCTGAGACCAGACCTGAACCCTGGCCTTGCTGCCTTCCCTGCCGCCTTGCAAAGTGATGGTCAGGGCTGGGCAGCAGATGGAGAGGGAGGCAGAAACAGCTCTTTCAGGAAGGATTTGTCTTAAGTAGCCTGGCAAAGAGCCATTGGCAAACAAATAAGTAATAAATAAAAAGCAGGGAGGCCGCCGGCACCCCTGCAGCCTCTGACTCCATAGCACATATGGGCTTTTCCGGCTTCCCCGTAAGCTTAAACCTCTGCCGCCTTCTCATGGCAGCATCCTGGCTCCTGTCTTCCTCCAGCTCTCCTCTGAATGCCTTTCAGCTCTCTTACTTTTTATTTTTTTCTGTTTTGCATGATAACACTCTAATCTGTAGTTGCTTTTCTCCTCAAAGCTTTCCCTGAGGTTAACTAGTTCATCCCTGGTTTGGTGGCTGCTGGCAATGGTAAGCACAGGGTGGTCCTGCAAACGGGGACAGAAATAGCAGTGCTTGCTGGAGATGCTGGTCAGGGCTGTGTGTAGGCCTTCGCAGGTAAATATTGTCCTCCTTCCTCACAGAGAGACTTCTGGCCCCAGGCAAAGTAAGGCAGATTTCATCACACCTTCAGAGCCTACATCTGCAGAGTTGTAAAAGGAGGAGTGTCGCTGCTTTAAAATATCCCTCGCAGGAAATACTCTCATCTTAACAGACTGTGCGAGCTTTCCCAAAGCAGCAAGGAGAGGGAGAAATGTTTCTAACACCCACAGGCGAATTCAATTGATATTAAACTAATCAGTCACCTAAACTCTTTGGGAAACAGCAGAGTGCTATGCAAATGCTGACTCCTCCATGAGTCCTATAAACACCGAAGCCTTCTACTGTTGAACTTCTGCGTTTGGTGAAACAGCTCTTCTTACCCGCTTTAATTGCTGTAAATATATTCCGTGCACTTAGCTGCAAGTTTGAAGAAAACATGGCATTGCTGATGCACTGCGCACAGAGCCAAAGCGGGTTTGCTTTGAGATTATTTCAGGAAAAGCAGCTCCGGTCCCAATTTCCTTCAGCTATGGCTTGGTTACATTCAATCCCTAACCAGCTGTCAGATCCCTACACGATGAGAGGTCTTGGAGCTTTTGAGGACCCCACCTGGCATCTACTTGCACTTCAAGATGCCTAAAAGTCTTTTAAAAGCTGGCTTGAAGTTACTGCTTCAGAGGTAGCTGGGACTGGTAATTAGGCTGTGATCGCACCTTGTTATTAGGTGGGGACAATGGCAGCAGTTTGCTCCCACCACTGAAACAACAGCCGTGCATGGGCCCTTCCCATCGCCCAGGCTGCTATTGTTGCTGGTTAATGGGTGAGACTGGGCACGGCAGGCCCCATGGCAGGTCCCTCTCCTGCAGAGCCAGGGGGAGGTGGGGTGGAGTAGCCTGGTGAGGGGCATGGGCTCCCCTCTCCCACCTCCCTGTCCCAGTCCCTGTGTCACCCTCACCTCTCTGGCAGTTCAGCCGCTGCTCCATCTCATGCCTCTTCACCAAGGTTGGCTTTTAATGACTCATCTTGGTGGTTACCTAAGCCCCAGCACTGTCCTGCCTCGCCTGTCCCAGTACAACCCACAACCTTGGTGGTATTGGCATTAAGAGCTGCAGCCATGCTAAAGGCTGCAGAAAAAACCTCTTTGGCTGAGAAATCGCCTTCCTAATTGAAATTACTGTAATGCTGCCCAGCCTCTGGGGAGCATGAACGCCACGGTGTGAAAGCATTTCAGACCCGGGATCAGTTGTGCAGTCCCCAGCAGAGTCCCCATGAGAAGCTGTGGGTACCATTTTGACCAAAGAGGGTCCTCTGAGCTGTCGTAGTTTGATTTTGCATAAAGATATGTTTAAAATGGAGTACCAGAGCAGAGAGGCTCAGTGCTCCTGTTCAGTGGGAGCATGGGAAAGCTTTGGGTGACCCAATTCCCCTGCCCCCAGCACCAACATCTTGTGTCTTGTTGTTTGCAGATTGTGGGTGAGCTGTGAGGAAGGCAGGATCTGAGTGAGCCAAGCTCCACTGACCCCCAAGGGCTAAAAGGCAGGTTGGGAGAGGTGGAAAAATATGTCATCATGTAATTTTGAGTTCTCCCTAACAGAGAGAGAAAGGGGCTCTGGACCTGCTATGCCAGGGAGCACTTTATTGTTAGCTGGGGCAGGAGGTGATGGAGTTTGAGACAAAAAGCCCTTTTGATGTATTGCATTGGATGGTGTAGTGGAGACCAAAATTCAGAGAAGGTAGAGGTGGGAGAGTTAGGGCTAACCTTGGGTTTGGAAGGATAGCTGGGAGGCAGCTCCCAGCTGTGGCCCAAAGTGAGCCCATGGTGGCCTGAGATGAGGCCTGGGGACCCTGTGTTGGCCAAGCCAAGGTGACCCTGCTGGAGGAGTCCCCTTGCTGCACTACTCATGCAGCAAGATGACCCATGCTAGGATGACACACGAGGGAAGTGGCACAGGCTGAGGAGCTGAGATGTTATGTGAGGGCTGAGAAGCTGAGGGATGCCTTGTGAGGCTTGGAAGTGGCCAACCATGGGCCACAGCTCACCATTGCAGCTAGGATCCCAGCTAGCCTGGAGCTTGGGACCTACCTGGCTAGAGGACCTGGTTGCAACAGCAGGTTGGGGTGGTTGTCTGGGTGTGGCTCTGGCTTGGAGCAGTCTCCATCCTTGAAGATATTCAAAACCTGCTGGACATGGCCTTGTCAACCTCCCCTAGCTCACCCCATTTTGAGATAGGAGGCTGGACTAGACAATCTCCCTTCAGCCTCAGTGCTTCTGTGATTATTTGTCCTGTCTTCTGACAGATTTGGTCACCATGGGATAATTCCCAAGGCAGCATTAGAGAAATGACCAGAAGTTTGGAGGTTTGCCTAGCTCCCCTGGGCCTGCAAGCAGCGGTCTGGAGGTCTCTACACCATTAAGAAACTCCCAAGGCTTGCAGGTTCCAGGCTGAGGACATGCACCATTCCCTGTGTTTCTGGGCTGCTTTTCTCAGGGAGAGGTCACAGATGGCAGAACTTCATGGAAGGGAAGTAAAATGACAAAAATGGCAAAAATGACAAAAATGGCAAAAGAACAAACCAAACTTCATAGACTTCAGAATAAGTTTGATCTGTGCCTTTTTTGGCTCTTGACCTGCTGCTGAGTAGGATGGATGGATTAAAGACACAATATAAATTAGTGATAAGAAAGCCATGACCTAAGTACCTAGTTTTAATCTTGCTGTGTTTGTGCAGTTCTGATCTTTTCTTAAGGACAAGTTGATTCTCAGTGATGAATATGTTGTGGTGCTTAGGGCTGAGCAGGAGGATGCACCATGCTTG